GAACTTAGCATCCAAGGCAGGCAGTTACAGAACCCTACAAACCTTCCCAGTTTTACAAGTAATTTTAACTACCTTTCCCCTGCTCCATCTACTATTTTTATCTGCAGCATATTTATCAACTTTTTCCTCTAAAATTCTGCACAGCTACTTGAAGTGTATGCAGTATATGAAGGATAAAAACTGTGTAATTTGGGGTGCATTACAGTGACATATTTCCCTTAGCGGATATTTACAATGCCGTGCTTACTATAGAAGGCAGAGTTAAAGTGGAGTTATATAATTGAATTTGTTATTCTGTATTTTGGAGGCTAAATTTCAATAGATATCTTGATATCCTGTGTCGGCAGAGATGGCTGAAGGAGCAGAATGGGAAGATTTCTTGTCACTTATAGCTAAGACAAAAACAAAATAGTCATTTTTGAATACAGTCAGAGGTTCTTTTTTGTCTTGTCTATAGAATATCTTTTTCCTGCTTGACTATTTTTTTTCACAAGACTTTGAAATCAGTGTTATGGAAGAATGGCAGTGGAATGTTTACAGATCCTCTAATCTGGTACATAGAAACCTATTTTCAGATCTATTAAAAAACAATCTGATAAACCTCCCTCTCTAAGAAAAACTTTAATTTCCTATACTTTCCTCTAACTGCCATGAAAGACTTTAGCTCTTTTCAGAACCAGGAAACCAGTTGCTGCTTGTATTGATTACAGATGGAAAACTCTTTTCTATGTGACCGCAAGGTAGGAGGAAATTTATATAGGGAGGTCTCCAAATGGTTTCATTGGCTGATTCCTGGAGAAAATGTGAATTGTGTTCTTCAGTTGACCAGATATTTCTCCCTCATTCTGAAGAGTTTTTATTCTTCTGGCATAATTTTTTACCTTATTAAGAGAAAGTTTAGGGACATACATTTTCTGCAACTGAATGGGATGGTAATTACTGCTTCTTGTAATAGCTTGACACTTAAAATTATACTGAAGATACTGGTGCTCTTTGCTTCTCTTAGCACTCAGTAATCTACACATTTCACTTGTTCCATCTGGAAATGGCTATCAGCTGCTCACAATTAGACTTGGGTTTCCATGTATTTGTGATAAGAACAGCCATACTGGGTGAAATGAGACTTTCATCTGGCACAGTATCCTCTCTGATAGTTACCAAAGCTGGTGTTAAGAAGCATGATCCTTCTGTAATATACTTTTCTAGGTTCCAGTTATTTATGGTTTTGGGACTACCTCAGCTGAACTCAGGGGTTTCATCTGAGTTGTCATGTTTGGTGCCCACATATGGAATTAATCTAACTAATTTTTTTAATGTACTTAAAAAAAGGTGTATTTTTCTATACATTTGAGATATATAGAAAAAGTGCCTTTTCATTCCTTTAAGTTTGCTTTCTGGTAATTTCCTAGGTGTTCTCTCCTTATATTGTGAGAAATAATGAATGTTCATTCTGTAAGCCATTCATGATTTTATAGACATGTATTCCCTTCATTTTAGTCATATCTTTCCAAAAAGAAAAGTCTTTTTCTAAGTCTCTTTTCATTTGTATCTTTGCTTATTCTACTCACTCTGCGACCTCTTATTTTAGAGAGGGTAACCAGATATACAAGTTGTGCAAAATGTTGATACACAATGGATTTTTATGACAGAATTACATTTTTTGTATAATTTTCAGTTTTTTTCCCTAATAATTTCAGTATTCCTATTGCGTTTTTAACTGCCTCAGAGCTTTCAAATTATTTTTAGGGGGAATGGAGCAGCTTTAACAGCTCTTTTCTTGAGTGATAATAGCTAATTTTGTACTCATCACTGTCTACCTATAGTCAGCATTGGTTTTCCCCAGGCATTAGGTCCATACTTCTTGATGTAGAAATTAATTTGACTGTTTTGATCATCCATTTGGTTCAGTATATGTGATATTTCCAGATATTACTGACTTAAAGAAATGCAGTAGAATCATGAAGCATGATTTTTTCCTTGGAAAAAATAATTACCAATCTTTTCCAATATATCAAACTCATGTTTTCATTTCTATTAATTCACTCTGTACGGAAAAAGGCTACTAGTCTGTAGATCTCAGAAGCTTCCTTACAGCCTTTTAAGGAGATTGATGTAACTTCTATAATTTTATTCCCCTTTTACTGAGGTTAATTTAAGCAATTAATAACTCAGTAATTTTATATTTCAGTTCATCTAGAACTCTTGGCTCATGTGTAGTCACTTTTCAACACATGAGATTTTCCTAAAATCTTCTGAAATTTTTATTTGAAACCTATATTGAAAATCATTCCTGATATAGAATGGCAACACCTCTTTCATAGTGAACAGCTGTGAAATACTTTCTTTGCAATCTCTGTTGTGGTTGTATCTTTCCTGAATGCTACACAGAATTATAGAAGCATTAGTTGGTCATCTGCTCCAGCTCAAAGCAGCATTGTTGTCAACGCTAGATCCAGTCAGTCGTCATTTTGTCTGGATAAGTCTGGATACCTCTGGAGTCAGAGATTCCATGTCCCCTCTGGGCAGCCTGCTACTGATACCGCACTTCCTCTTAGTAAAAAGTTCTGATGTCCAATCTGAATCTGCTAATCATACCACTTAATTATTTATTGCCCTCACTGATTCTCTGCTAGTCTTCTTGTGTTTCTGACATTTGAAAAATATTTTTTCCTTCATGCCTTAAACATGTTGCTCATTAGAAGCTGATTTTTGTATTGCCTTATTCTGCTTTTTGATGGTGGTTATCCTCTTATTTAACTTCCTTATTTTGATCTGATTTCCACTTTTTGAAGATGACTTTTTGCATGTAATGCTTTCCTTCATGTGGTAGTTTTTGGAGTAGCTATAAAGTCTGTTTGGGTATGAGTTATATGTTTGAGTGCTAACGAGATGTCTTTATATAATACTTGCTATTGTGTAATCTGAGTAAGCTATGATCACTAACACAATGTTTCTTTTACAGTTATGTATTAAACTAGGTATTTTTCTTCATTTAAGATTAAACTCAGTTGCTTTTCACCTGTGAGTTCTCTTATGAATGACTGATGCATGACTGGGTCTCTTATAATAAACTAAATATCTAGATCAAATCCAGTCTGAAAGGGAATAACTTGAAAATCCTTGTTACTGTGTTTTCTGTTGTTAAGGTCTCTTAACTCTTACCTTTTAAACTAGGTATTTTTCTTCATTTAAGATTAAACTCAGTTGCTTTTCACCTGTGAGTTCTCTTATGAATGACTGATGCATGACTGGGTCTCATAATAAACTAACTATCTAGATCAAATCCAGTCTAAAAGGGAATAACTTGAAAATCTTTGTTACTGTGTTTTCTGTTGTTGAGGTCTCTTAAGTCTTACCTTTTTGTGCTTACTGTTGTCTTGCATTTTATTTATAAAATATTGTTTTCTTAGCCTTTTTAATATCTTCATCTTCCTGAAAAACATGGCTGATACATCAGTAATAGATCTATATTACAAAAGCATGTTGAAGAGGTTTTATTGGACTGCAGAATCCTTTTATGAGGAAGGGGTAGGATTACAGGTTTCTCTAACTCTCATTCAGTGTTTTCTGCACTGACAATTTACTATTAGATGTTGAAATACTCCATCTTGTATTAATAAAGCTTAGAGATTCATTATAGATTGGAGGGTGCAGTAATAACATTTATTTTAAGTGGAACTTCCAAGTAGCTTTGTCTCTAGTGCTACAGGACTTTCCTGTTGTTTCAGCTTTGCTTGACTCAGGTTTAAGATGAAAAAGACAACTCTTAATAGAAATTTTTGTTCTAGTAGCTAATTAAAAGCAAAATACACTGAACTACAGTTGTTGATGTTGTAGATGAACAACTAGTTTTGAATCACTGTACTTTTTCATATTTGTAAATATTTGCACTGAAAAATATACACTGACCCAAAGAAAATGACTTATAACACAGAATTTAATTGTTTGCTGCCATCTCTGCATTACCCAGAACACTTCAGTTAGAAAAGTTAGGTTTTGTTCCTTGCTTATGAATCCTAAACCTTTTGCGAATTCACATCTCCTGCATCTCTGTGTTGCTTTGACTCCCTGTTCTTGTCTATATCGTGTATTGACTGATGTCTTCCATTTGTTTCCATATCCATATGCTGTTGCCCTTTCCCTGTGGTCAGTTTTCCCACCATATTGGAAAGTGATGAATATAGAGATTTCTTTTTTTCTGGCTTTCGGAGGTCTGAAATTGAGATAGCTTCTCAGGACCTCTTTAGTCTTGCACAAGATGCAAGACAAATACTCCTGGATCATGGCCCAGGCATAACAAAGGATGTCTCGGCTCATTCCAAGTAACAATGTTATCCATTTAGGGAGTAGGAGAGGACCTTTATAGCCCACCACTGAAGTGCAATGCTTGAATCTCAGCTGAACCAAGAAAAGAGGGAGAGGGTTTCAGATACTGAGCTGTTGGGTCACATCCTTCTGTAGAGGAAGAGAAAATTTATCTTGGATGAGTAATCAGAAAGGACACCTTTCAACTTTGCTTCATTCTTATTTAACTAACATTTTCAATAAAATAAATAAGCATATGGTCTGAACCAAAAAAAAAAAGCCAAACTTGACCTTTGAAAATAATACAGAATTTTGCAGTAACTGTGATTCAAAAAAGTACTGTTTGTTTTAGTAGAAGTCACCATTTATACAATGCAATTTTGTAATTATTCTTTGCAGTTTTCTCTGTCCAGATGGTAAATATTGCCACATTGTTTACTCAGTTCTTTCTTCCTTCTGTTTTGAAAGGACAGGACTTTTAAACTCTATTTAAAAATTAAATAGTTACACTCTGTTGAATATTTCTCTTTTTTCTCCCCTCTCAACAAATTAAAGTATGTTACACAGGCTTACTTTTTTTCTGTTCCATTTAAAGTTTTCTTCTCCCCAACTCATACTCCCATTCTTGTTGCTAATGAATAGATCATCTTAAAATAGATATGTTCATCATTCTATAATATTTTGTATCTTTCTAGATTGGAGGCCAGTGTAATTGTAAGAGACATGTGTCTGGCAGACAATGCAATCAGTGCCAGGAAGGATTCTACAATCTACAACAGTCAAACCCTGATGGCTGCAGTCCCTGTAACTGTAATACCTCTGGGACAGTCAATGGAGATATTACCTGTCACCAAAATTCAGGCCAGTGCAAGTGCAAAGCAAATGTTATTGGTATGTGTAATGCAAGAGTTTGGAGCCATTTTTCTTGTTTTCTCTGGAAATAAAACACACTTGATTTCTAAATGAAAAGTATAGTAAATTTCTTTGCTGAAGGCAGATTATAAAAATGAATGAAATCAACTGTTGAAAAACTATTAGTCTAATAATTCTATCAAACTACAGCTTGAAGCTTAGTTTAATCAACCCTTTAGAAGTTTTTTATGGCATATCTACATTAGCTTACATAGCTCCATACTAATAAGTCACAGAAATAATGTCATTTGCTTACTGCATAGATGTTTCTTTTAGGAAATTAACACTTTTTCAAAATGTTTTACATGTAATGAGTTCTAAGCGAATCGTTTCCATGCTAGTTTTCTTAACAGAGCAAAATAAATAGATTTTTTTCTCAAAATATTCTGTGCTACAGGGTCCTTTGTGATAAATCTATCAATTTTTTTCTATTATATTTCTTTGAACTGTTCCTGTGAAATGCAAAATAAGTCAACATAATTCCACAGATCATGTACATAGCTAGGGTTAGTTATCAAGGGCCACATAATTTTAATTTTGTAATTCAATGCCAAGCTGATTATAATAAACTGCTACCTTCTGTGTTATTTATCATTTTTTTTACAAGACATGCTTTTTTGTTTGTTACTCCCACAGGTATTTTTCAGAAATTAGATTTGATTATAGCAATTTATTACTTCCAGCATATTTGAGGGGAGCCACAGCCACATAAGGGCAAAATTTATCAAACGCCCAAAATACACAGTATATATAATACACTTTGAAATGTTGATGTATGGGAATATTATGCAAGGAGAATTTCCTGATAAAGTGAGCCTTGCATGGTAACTGTACGTGTCTGACTATACATATGTTTCAAAAAAAAAAGATCCTTTTCTGCTTTGTTATTAATACAATTAGTAATCTGTTTTTTCTTTAGCTAACCATGATTGTGGGTGGTATTAACAATGTTCAAGTGTATGTTAATTTATAACTCATTTGCTTGTGAATATTGACTTATTTGTAATATTGTGAGTCTCTTTTTCTTCTTTCATCTAATTTCCAGAAACAAATACAAAATAACAAGAAGTAATGAAAATAACTCTAAACAGACAAAATGCTGAACATTTTCTGTCCTCTTTCCTGTGGAACATCAAGTACCTATGTTTTTGATATGATAAAAAGGGTGCTAAGAGTGAAAAAAAATAACCTCTGTGCATCTTAAACTCACTCTCTACATTCAATAAAAAGGACTTTGGAGCATTCTTAATTATATATGCTTTGCATACATTTCATGTTCGCATCTGTGAAACCTTCTTAACTCTATGGGAGTTTGGTATACAAGAAACACACAGTCTGGTTCTCACATATTTGATTGTCTACGTATTATTTAAAAAATTTTCTCCCTTTGAGAACAATAAGAATTATTTTTATTTCCACTGAAATAGTAATACAAAAAGTGTGTAAATCTCTGCTTTCTGCAAATTTGTCTGTAACTATGGTGGGGAGCTGTAGTTTGCAAGTGTTTGTTCGTAGGATAAAGACCAAATTCTTTCCAAACTGGATTCTCTTTTTTGTTTTCCAAACCAATTGTAAATAAGCTTCTGTATATTGGAACATGTGCAGCAAACTTTAACAAAGAGCTTTCCTCTTTGGCTTTCTAAATTGATTTTGAGAACAATCTGTCTATTGCCGTTTTACCTATTTAAACAAACATGATAACAGAAAAATGCAACTATGGACTGCAGTGTTATGAAACATGAACTGTTAGAGTTAACACAACTGTTAAATCTTACTAATGATTCTATCACCAGTAAAATACATTAGCACCAATAATTTTATTAAAGTAGGTCATTCATCTAGAATAAAAAGGTAGAAGAATGTGAATTAAATGCCAAGCGTGCTAACTCCCCTGTACTTGTTAACATTGAATGTGATGCCCTGTAGGCCTTCCTCAGTATCGTTAGGAATAGATTACCTGTCAGGAATATGTATGGCATATTCAAATAAGCACTGCGCATATTTTTAAAACTGATATGATATGAATCCATGTAGACCAATTTTAATAGTTCAAAATGAGTCATAATTCTTGTTAACAATACAGTTATTTTTAAAATTTGCAGCAATAGTGGTCCTTTTTTATTTTCCTTATTGAAATTAAATGATATGCCTTAGGTGAGTCATTCATCACTGTTAAAGGAACTTGCCTTCTGTTGAAGTTTTTGAGTTTTTATCCGTATGTATAATGCATTTCCTACCATTTTTAGTTTTATTTTTCTACATGTAAGTTGCTAGATGTATTTCTGTATGGTTTTGTACTTTTTAAAATGATAATATTTTGCTAGAACAATGTATTTATATTTTTCTGTATGCAACAATTAAGTGATAGCTTCATAGTGAAGGATTTTCCCATTGCGAAGGAAAATACATAACTGTGAATTTGCATTTTTCATATAATAATCTAGTTTACTTTCTTATAATGTGCATTTTATGAACTAAAATACAAATGCCATCCCTTGGGGCAGGGATAAAGCAAGCAATGACTTTGAAAACAAAGCTAATAAAACTACAGGATGAAGCATGAAGAAAACAGTTTATATTTTAATGTACTGCAGGAGTTAACTAAATCATACATTTAGATAAAAGTATTTCATTTTGGATTAAGGAAAACATTTTCTGCTTTCAGTAAAGGCTAACAATAAATGCTAACATAAATGTAATCAATGTTAAAACCGAAGTACACTGTTAAGTAAATCATTCATCGTAATTAGTCTAACTTGTGTTGTCCTAGATATTTGATATTTTTAATATAGTATATAAATCTGTTACCAGAACAGATTGAGAATCCAGTGCAATTCCCTGTATATTGCGTTTCTATGATACAGGGTGAAGAGTTCACATAAGCATTGATTGTGTAACAGGTCCTGTTCTGCGGGACAAAGAGATTAATTCTGGTTTGTCTTAGAAATGTTACAAATAATCTCTTGCAGAAGTATCTTAAATTGTATTGAGAAGCCAGCAGAAACGCATTGCTTCTGAAACAAATTGAAAAAGTAAACAGATTTTTAGGACACCATTGTTATTCAGTTGATTTGTGCAGCCCTGTCATTCCTGTTAATTATGCTGGTGAAGAATATTAGTCCTTTCCCTTCTCTTTTTTTTTTTTTCAAGTCTAGTATCATTTTTTAGAACGGAAATTAATAGCTGTTCAGCTTTTTTGTTATTAATATCTTTTCTCTTTCCAGGTCTTAGGTGTGATAGTTGCAATTTTGGATTTAAAGCTCTCAGATATTCTAATGAAGATGGATGTGAACCTTGTTGGTGCAACAGCCACGGCTCAGTGAACCAATTCTGCAACCCTCTTTCTGGGCAGTGCAATTGTAAAGAACGAGTGAAAGGGCTTCACTGTGACACCTGCACGGACAACTTTTATGGTCTGGATGTAACTGGTTGTAAGGCTTGTGAATGTAATGTTGCAGGGTCGTTTTCTGGAACTGTGTGCGATGCGAAGACAGGACAATGTGCATGTAAACCAAATATTGGAGGAAGACAATGTGACGAATGCCTGGATGGCTACCACAAAGTACAGGAAAATAATTCCTTTGTGTGTCTGCCATGTAACTGTGATAAGGCAGGTACAGTAAATGGCTCTTTGCTTTGTGACAAATCAACAGGACAGTGTCCTTGCAAAGCCGGTGTAACTGGCCTTCAGTGCAGTCAGTGCATGCTTCACACGTACAACCTCAGCGTGAGCAACCTCCTTGGCTGCCAGCGTTGCGAGTGTGACGCTCTGGGCACATTGGCAGGAACGGTCTGTGACCACGTTTCTGGACAGTGTGTCTGTTTACCTCAGCGTCAGGGGAGAAGATGTGATGAGTGTAAACCAGGTAAGGAAATTGGAAGACAATATTTGATGTAGTAAGTTTTGCTGTGTTGAATATCATCATAGTTCCTACTGTTTTTAATATGTGTTTAGACAGCTTTGTATCTGGCATGTTTCTGACTTTGTTATTAATTATTTTTCCATGTCTTCCTAACTGTGTGAGTGAGAAGGAAGTATTAACATCTTGTTCACCATCAAATATTTATTCTATTGTCAGAGGTTGTATAGCTTGTGTTAATACTGCAGTTTCAACATGTCCAAAATAAGGTTAGACTAGTTCTTCTAGATATTGAGAAAATATGCAAATCATCATGGCCTGTTCACTAAATAAGAGGTAAACGAGCATAGTGTGGTGAACAGCAGCTATTCTCATAATGAAAAATGTGGATTTGGAAGGCAGAGTGCAAGGTCTTTGGGAAGGGCACTTCATGCATAGAGCTGAGCATGGCAGGAGGCACAGAGATGGTTGCTTAAACTGAGACCTGCAAACGTGCCACCTAAAAAGCATTCGCCTGCCTTGCTGTGTTGAGGATGTGCTGGTTTTTACAAGGACTGCTTATGGTTTGGCCCTACAAGTAGGTGATACTGCAGTTGCTTCGTATCAGTTCAAGATCTTATACCATATTACTGTAAACAGACTTTAAATGTTCGTTATAAGCAGGAAGCTCTGTGGTTGTATTTTAATGTTTTTGTTTTAAAAAGTAGGTGGGTAAAGTGAAACTGTAGGTAATATTAACCTACCCTTAGTAATAATATTGAACAGATAGATTTAGTTCAAGTTAAATACATATGCAATTTATTAAAGTAGCAGGTCACATTAAAAGGTACATTATAGCTCCATTGGTTTTAATATGCCATTCAATAATTAGAACAGAGGTTAAAAAAGCTGCTTAACCTCCATTAAGTATTTTTAAAAATACTTTCATTTAAATTATTTTAGGTACATATACTAATAAATAAGGCAGCATTCTGTTTTTCTTAGTTCCTCCTCCAGTGCTATTTGACCTGCTAACCCTCTACAGCAGCCACTTAATCAGAGATCGGCAGAGGAGTGATGTCAAGGCTTCCTGAGTCAGTGACCGCACTTGTCCTTGAAAAAGAAAGGCCAGGGTTTATGCAGAACTAAATGGTTTAAAAAGGTTTAATTGATAGTATGAACAGACTGGTTTGTAGAAAAGCTTACATGGCACTCAAAGGAATACTTCCACAATAGTTCCTGTTAAAAAAAAAATAATCTTGCTGTAAGAATTATTTTAAAATTTTCTAAGTAAAGTATAAGCACGTATGTGCTGAACACTAGGTTCTCTTCTGTAGGTGAAAGTGTAAATCCTTATTGTAAAAGCATTGTATTTCTCTTAGTGTAGCACAGTGTACTACTGTATTTTCACTGACATTTTAATGTTGATCTTAGTGTGAGCTCATTTAGACATTTAGTATGTCTATCTTTTTATATAAAATATTCTCTGTTAGTATGTTCCAAAGGAGAGTTTTCTATGAAACAGGGATGAGTATAACCTGCTAGTAATACTGGTGTTAAGTTGTAGAAGTATGGAAATTTAATTGGTTTCAAGTACTCTAAACATGTCCTGTTGGCTTTGCCTTGGGACAAAGATAAGAAAACGTCCTCCAAGTATATATGTAGCCAACACAACCTAATTAAAAGCACACAATTAATTAGTTAAAATTGGCAGTCTGAAAAACATACTGAAGACTTCTTAGGCTGTTGGGACATTTCAACTCTGATCTGAGTTTCCCTAGTGGAATACAGGTCATATCTTTTTTAAATTTTTTTTTTTTTAATTCTGTGTAACTATAAGTCTGTTATAGTTAGTGGTATTTAAAATAACATCCCATTGTAGCATATCTTCTGTGTGCTTTGATAAAATTTGAGAGGTTTCCGAAAGTTACCAAAATTCTAATGCAGGAAGAGTTGCCAATGGAGAAAAAATCAAACTTGATGTAACTTTGGGAAATTATTTTATAATGAGATTATGATAAAAAAAAAAGAAAACAAAAAAAAACCAAAACCAAGACCAAACTATTTCTGGAGCATTCAGACTTATGTTTCAATTGTTAGGCTATATTTGTCCCCTGCTGTGTTCCATTTTGTTCTCATACAAGTTACATTTTTGGTAGATTTCTGTACATTTAAATTTTTTTTTGAACTAATGGTGTATGCAAAGAGAGGAACACTTGATTCTAACATGAAACCAAATGAAAGAGCAGTTTTACCTTGTGTATAAACTTGCTTTTGAGATGTCCTAGGTTGCAGTGGTAGGAAACAGATCTTTCCAACCCTCAAATAGTTGTGAAGAGTTTGTCTGTGTCTCATTCCAGGACTGTGTTGCCACAACAGCTGAGATTTGGGGCCATACAAATCCTGCTCAACACAGGTCTTGGATCTGTTATGAGAGCAGCAAAGCTGGGTAGGGGGGGTGGTATTTTGTAAGTTCTTTACTTGGTGACCACAGCTTTTTGTGGTTCAAGGAATGGTACGTAGTATGGAAAGACGTAAACCAACATGTAGGATATGTGACTGGGCACAAATATTGAGTTTTTGTGTGTGTACTACCTCTCTTCTTGGCCAGAAAAACATGAAGTATGTTGTGACAACATTGTCAGTGTTGTTAACTGTGCATTTTGAAGCACAGACTGTGGTTAAGAAATGAACTTTACCACCATAGTTGGTAGGCATGTACAAGTGCTAAGTAATTGTTTGGGTGTTCCTTTTCCATGAGCTATACAATAGGGAAAAATAGTAAGAATACGATTAAAAAAGGAAGCTGAATACTTTGCTATGACTTTCATTCTTCCTTTTGAAAAGTACGTTTGACTGGCAAATGTGAACCATTATGGTTGAACAGGAAAAAAAATCTGAAAAAGAATAAGCATAATACTAGTTATATACCTAGATCTTGTAGAGATTTGCAGTGGCTGTCTTAAAATTGGAAATTGGCTCTATTATACAACAGTGGATCCTTCATAAAGCAACTTTTATGAGCCCTTCTAACCTTGCTGTAAATTAAGCTTGCATTAAGTTGTTTCTTACTCTTCCCTGCCAAGTTCTAGGTGGTGGAAGTAAATAATAATGGTTATGACAAACAGTATGAATTTATAATCCAGTGTCTCTTCTCTTTTTATCTACATTTGTGTTAATTTACTTAGGACTTAGTTGGGGGAAGGACTTTTTCCTATTTTCCTATCCCTCACTCTTACTTTTAAAAAAACTTTTACTTACTACATGTGAAAAAAAATATTTGTGGTAGTACCCAGAAACTTAGTTAAACTTTATAGCATTTCTAAAAGATTAATATATAAAAAAAATCATACCAAATCCTTCACTGCTCT